AAAGAAAGAAAGAAAGAAAGAAAGAAAGAAAGAAAGAAAGAAAGAAAGAAGAAATGAAAGAGGCACCCAAGAACACTGGGAACTGGGCAGACCAAAGCGGCTGTCATCCACCTACAGCAGCATCTGGTGGAGGAAATGGTAAGGAAGGCGCCGCCTGTTAGGAGGGCTGGCTGGCTGGCTGGCCTGCAGGAGGCAAGCGTGGAGGACAAGGCACCCAACTCCTCTTCCTCCCCAAGGCACGCTAAGAAATGACCACCATAGTACTGTGAGAGAAACGACGACAGCTGTGCTGAGAAAACTAAATACACTTCTAATTTTAAATTAAATATTCCATAAAATGTGGTAGAAACAAGACCCCCATGAAGGCTGTGATTTAGCTTATTCCCAGATAGCTGGGCAGCAGCCAGCCACAGAGGTGCCAGGACAGCAAGGAATCTGCCAGGCTCTGGGTGACCAGTGTGACGGGCCTGCAGAGAGCACAGTAGCTCCAAGGGCAGGTGGGCACAGGTGACAGCACTGGCACTCCAGCTGCCACCTGGAATGGACAGCTGGGAGGGAAAGAAGGTGCACTAGCAGGAGGGCGCACCTGGGGAGAAATTCAGTATTTGATGAGAATTATCCAGGGAATGAGAGAAATCACCCACTCCTAACTGCACGGGAATAAGATATTCCAAAAGCCAGGAAAGAACTTTAAAAGTTAAGATCTAATCCTTCTTATCATTCTCAAGTGATAAGAATTAGGTATTAATAACAAAGGGCAAGCCAAATAAGATAAAAAACGTTCAGTCCTTCGTAAAGGAGGAAATCCGAGGATACACAGCCAGAGATCACTCAGTAAGAACATCCACGCCGCAAACCAAGGTTGTAAACCAGAGATCTGAAGGTGAATGATAAACAGAAACACACTGTGCATGCACAGGCCACAAGACAGGAACTCTTCGTTCAGTGAGGTACGCAGAGGGAGAACCAAAGACACTGAAAGATGCACTACATTCCTGGGCAGTAAGATCCAAAGCTCTCATTAGGAGCCTAAACCGCATTACGTTTCCGTGTGGCTTTAATGCAAGGCCAAAGAAAACCCCAAAGAGACAGTTTCTAGAAACTCCAACAGGAACAGATTCATTTGGAACTGAGCATGGGGTGCAGGCTTGTGTGCTCACCATTCTGGGAGCCTGAGCACCCAGTGCAAGCCCAGCCTGTGCAACTCAGCATGACTGGGTCTTCAAATAAAGAAAAAATGAAAGAGCCAGAGTTGTAACTCAGTGTAAAGGATGCAGGTTCAATCCCTGTACCCTTCTGCTCACCATCAGCATCACCATCTGAGAAAAATGAGAATAGTAGTACATCGCTTTAAAAATTAAATACAGTGGTAAACTGGTTCATAAATTTAACTCTTCCCACAATTCTGGAAAGGATGGCCATATTTTTTGTTCATGTGAGAAAGGTGACTCCATGTTCATGACTGATTGCAGAGTTCACAAATAAAAGCTAACTTTTGCCAAATTTTGGTGTTTAAGAACCAAACTGTCCTCAAACAGAAGTGTCTGTGAACCCAGGTGCCACCATAATTTAATGTAGGGATGGGTCTGCCTTGCCAAGTGGTAAAACAGTTCACAAAACTAACATCCCTAACAGCTCAGCAGTCATCCTAGAACTGACAGGTGAAGAAAAGAAAAAACACAGATGAAT